TCGTTCTTTGTGTGCCGTTTTTGTTTTCATGCCTTGGCTATCATCGTATTAATAAGCTGATGAAATGTCACTCGGTTGGCAGCTAGATGAAATAATTTCTCGACCGTTTGACCTGTCCATTGTCTGTTATCATGGAGATATAACCAACTTTGAATACTATATTCTTAAAATACAATTAAAATACATGTTAATTTATTACGTCCATTTATAATATAACATCCTGATCGATGTCAGCAACTATGACAGTATGCACGAACTTTTCTGTCCCAATTCCTAATTAGATCTGGATTTCTCCATGGATGTTGTCATTTTCATCTGTGACAGTCCACAGTCGCAACATGATTGGTAAACATCTTCATGAAACGGCAACTCTTCATCACTGATCTCGAGAACTCCGTTTTTGTCATTCAATACAGTCTCCACTTTTCTTAGTAAATTCATTCCCTAATATGAACTCGTCGGAGATATCTGCACTTAATACTTTGTAATTCACTGTAGTCTGGTCAATGGATACTGACATATTAGCCTCGCCATATGTATTAATTAGCTCACCAGTTGCTGTTTAAGCCATATTGTTGCAGGCAACAATTTAAGATGGCCTCGTACTACTTCTGGACGTGCAATAGTTCTTGTTGCACTTGTATCTACCAAAAACGATTTACATTTATTATTGATACCACCCTCGATGTATATGCTATGAATTCTACCGGAGGACGCAATGCTAACAGTTACTATTGGGGCTGTGTTTCTTGAGGTCGGCAGTTGACCCTTGGTGTCGATCCGTTTTAGTTTTCCAAATGTTGTCTCATTTTCTTGCAATTACGACGAATGTAACCTACATCACCACAATTCCAACATCTGGACCTGCGTCTCTTTGGTATCGTGTTACGAACTACTTTTCGTACTTTTTGTTCCAGACGTTCATCGTTTGGTTAGTCGCCTTCTTTAATGGTTCTTACTCGATGACTTCGTGAAATATGACTAGGTACCTGTTTCATGTTCCAAGGCAATAGCAAGCGCTTCGTCTAGAACTTTTCGTCTTACTAGTCGTAAAGCTTTCTGTAATTCACTTTCTTTTAACCCATTGACGAAGGTATCTACAGCAATTTCTTTCAAAATGTTGTCTGGTACCTCCGGATAAGCCAACCGCACTATACGGCTTGAATGATTGGCTGTCGCAATAGCTTCAAATTGTCTAAGGTATATGGACCAAGAAGACTCTCCATCAAATGGTGGCAATTTGATGTGTCGTTTCGTCTCTAGCTGATACTTCTGTCACTACAGGATCTAAAATGACTGCATTAACTGGTGGTAGCACTTGTTGTATTGGTTATCACGATCTCTAATTGTTTGATCTTCTCTTCTACGTAATTTTTCTGTCTCTGTATCTGATCGAATGTTCTAGAAACTTCTTTAAATTTCTCACTGTTTTGACTATATACTTCGTCGAATCTTCTAGAAACATTTTCAAATTTCTCGTCGTTTTGTCTAGCAGCTTCTTTGATAATTTGAGACGTTTCTTCGATAATTTGAGAAATTTCTCGTCATCTTTTCTAGAAGTTTCTTCGATCTTCGTTAAAACTGCTTCTTCTGCTGATGAAAATGAGAATGCAAATGGAATGTATCTGAGTCATGTCCATTCTTGTTCCTTTAGTCGTTTTTGGAGGATCTTCTTGGACTCGCTGCAGTCTTTATCTCGTTCTTATAGTGGTTTACGTAACTATTTTACTGATAGTTCTGGAAGCCGCATCTTTGGTCAGGCACACACGTACTTTTTACATGTTCTTTTTTTCAATGATCACTATTGACCTACGCGGATATTCCCGACGAACAAAACTTTTCATAAGTCTTTTTGAAAAGTCACTGCTGAATTTATAAATAAATCAATTTTTCTGACACCGTGACACCAACTGTAGCGTGTTTAAATAAAACGAGCGGTTCTAATTTATAAACATATATTTATTTTTTAAAATTACAGCATGATAATATCTTATCAACTAACCCAACTCATAAAAGCGCTGCTTATATATATATACAAGTTATTATGTACTAGGATAATCTGGAATAGTCCACCTCTATTTCGCTTGTTATTACGGTTCAATCTCTCACCCGGTCGATACATCCGGAACATTTGAGAACACACACATCATCGTCCCGAGATGCAACCGTTATATGGGCTACGTCGAATGCATGTTCATTACAATATTTTATTTCAACTAGAATACTTACACATAACAATTAAAATAGAACACCCATTATAATGAGAGCAGTTACCATTTTTACCCATCAAAACCATATTTAGCATATTTTTCTCTTAGTGACTGCATCAGAAAGTTTATTACAGAGTTACAGCTTTTGCATTCAATTTAATTTTTGCATTTTTAATTAATTTGTTTTTATACTGATTTTTAGCACCTTGTCAACTTCCCAAAATTCCACATGGTCAATACTCATCGGGATATAGAGCAGGTCTTACAATAGCCAATGGTTCCAGTGTTGCATATCATTGTGAAGGTGATCAGGGACAGCCTTCAAGACATATCCAGTGTCTTCTGGGTAAGTATCTTTCTACTAAGCAGTAGAATTATTAATAAAAGGTAAATTTTTATATATTTATATTTATTATTAATTCATATATGGGAATCTGTGGTATACCCAGTTGGATAAAATAGAACTTGGAATAACAAACTTTATATTGAAAACACCACATAAAAATGCAAAAAAATATGAAGAAGACCACAAAATTAAAAGAAAAAGCAACAGGAACAGACGAAATAAACATGGAACTTCTAAACTATGGAGATAGCGGAATGAGATTGTTGAGAAGAGGTAAAAGGTATTACAAGACTTGATAGACAGACTTAATAGACATACTTAATAGACAGAAATTAAAGAACACACAACAAAATAGAAACAAAATGTAAATAGAATATATCAGACTAACTAATGATAGTGATGATAACGATGCCAGAACAGGCAGTAGTTGAGTAGTTTGGAAATAAAAATGCTGTTTATATATTATTATTATACAATATTAAAAGATAAAGGAGTTGATAGTCAAGACATACGATTCATAGAAAAGTTATACTGGCGTCAAACAGCGACAGCTTGCATAATCGGAAAATCAACAGAAATATGTAAAATACAAAGAGGTGTCAGACAGGGTTGTATACTATCCCCACTGTTATTTAATTTATATTCAGATAGAATATTTAAAGAAGCGCTGCATAATTTGGAATGGGGCGTGAAGGTTAATGGAATTCTGATAAATTCAATCAGATATGCAGACGATACAGTTATTTTAAGTGATGACATGAATGGATTACAATGCCTTTTAAATGCCATTGATAAAGTGGGAAGAGAGTTTGGCCTAAACATAAACTGTTCCAAAACAATACACATGGTGTCTAGCCGTTTAGCACATCAAGATGCACGATTATATGTTGATGGTATATAATTCAAAGAGTGTCCAGTTTTAAATATCTTGGTTGACATATTACTGAACAACTAGATCCAGATCAAGAGATAAAATGTAAAATCGAGATAGCCCACACGACATTTTTAAAAATGAGGTCATTCTTCTGTAATGATAACTTGCAACTTCAACTTCGAAAGCGCATGGTTAAATGCTACATTTGGTCAGTCCTCTTATACGGTGTCGAAGCATGGACATTAAAAATATCCACAATTAATCGTCTGGAGGCCTTTGAGATGTGGCGGCACAGACGTATACTAAAAATTCCATGGACGGCTATGCTGACAAATGTGGCAGTCCTTGAAAGAGCAAATGCTGCTCGCGAGCGCTTGATAACATCAAATGTAGAAAGATGGCCTATTTTGGACACGTAGTAAGCGGAGACCGATATAATATTCTTCAACTTATTATGATGGGTAAAATCGAAGGACGCAGAGGAATTGGTAGAAAGCAGGCCTCTTGGTTGAAGAATATCAGGGAGTGGACAGGAATAAAGAAAGCTGAGCAACTATTTAGAATAACTCGAGACAGAGACAGTTTCGCCATGTTAATCGCCAACGTCAAGGGGACTTGATCGGGCACGTCAAGAAGAAGAAGTTGATATATTCAAATTTGGATATAGAAATCAACAGGCAATATGCAGCATTACTTTAGTCTATACCAGAAATGAACAATTCTCTTATTATCTTTAGTTTACTAGGTAGTATTCTCTTTTTATAAAAACACTGTAAAATCAGAACAGCAGTGTCTACTGAGCAAACAAATGCTTTATGAAGCATCACAAACAATTGGTCTTAACACTAACACCCAAAAAACAAAATTTAAAACTAACCTTGTAGTCAGCGATACAATTCAGATTGAAAGCCATCGCATGGACCAAGTAATAGCTGACAAATATCTAGGGCATGAGGTTCGTTTAGGCTGAGATAATTAGACAACTAAAATAAAAAAAGGATAGGTCTCACAAGGGCTGCCTTTGGTAGATTTAACATTTCTTAACAAGTCTTATATTCCAGTTTGTTTGAAAAGAAAGTGTTTTAACCAATGTGTTTTACCGGTCCTTACATATGGTACAAAAACACCAAGTCTGACAAAGGGAACAATAAATAAAATAACATTTACACAACACTTTATGGAAAGATCAATGTTAGATATTACCAGTAGATATAAAGTACCAAACTTAGAAAAACGAAGAGGAACAGGAATCACGGTTGCAGTTGATAGCCATGGCTAAATGGGTTAGAGAGGACATGTTGCCAGATTGGCGGATGATAGATAGACCAGAAATATTCTGGAATGGTGAACAAGACAAGAGGCATATCGAAACAGGAGGACCACCGAATAGATAGACGGATGATATAAAGCTAATCACCACTAATTGGATACAAGAAGCTGAGGCTAGAAGTAGGTGAAAAATTTTACGCGAGGTCAACGTTTGGGAGTGGAAAAATATGAGCTAGTTTATGATTTTATATTAAATACACAAATAACTTTCACGTTTAATTTTCTTTGCATTAATTTAGGCGAACTGGAACCAAAAGTGCCCACTTGTAGTCCAAGTTCTGTAGGCGGAAAGGTAGAGACTCAATACCTAGGAGGTAGCGATATAGTTAAAGGTGGAGAAATTACAGTAATTCAGTATGGCAATTCGGGAGGGAATGCTTGTGGACCACCGGCCAAGTAAGTCACCAACAAAGTTTTTGTATGTCATATAAGAGATTTAGAAGAGAATATTTATCTTTATCGTCAAGTAGTTTTATTATTTCGTTGGGAATTTCATCTGGTCCGGGTGCTGTCCTATCCTATTCTTTGCTAGTTTTAAAACTCCTTTTCTTTCATGGAAGGTTATATTTGTTCCAATCGATATATTTTTTATTTAAATATCTGTTAGTTAGTCATCAAGCAGTTCCTTAATATATTTCCATGAATATAATGCATAATTCCTGCATTTTTTAATTGTATGTGAATTATTCTGCCTGCAATATTTTTAATTAGGTGGACTCTAGTTCTAGTGGCGTTTGGTTGGAGTCTCCATTTACAGAAATACTTTTATCATCATCATCTTTGGCTCGACAATCCTCTGTGGATCTTGGCCTGCTCTAAAATTTGTCGCCATTCTGTTCGGTTTTTGGCAACATGTTGCCATCTTCTGATTTTTAATATTCGTAAGTCGGTTTCTACTTCATCTAACCACCTAATTCGCGGTCGGCCTTTACTTCTTTTTCCTACAGGTGTTCCTGTTGTTAGCTTTTTAGCAATGGTATTTTCTGGCATTCGTATTATGTATCCAGCCCATCTAAGTCGCTGTGTTTTAATGAACGTTATGACATCTGGCTCATCAAAGAGCTGATACAATTCAAAATTATATCTTCTGCGCCACTGCCCTTGGTCGTTTACAGCTCCAAATATTTTGCGGAGTATTTTACGCTCAAATATTCCCAAAAGTCTTTCATTTTCTGCGTTAGAGTCCATGTTTCTGCTCCATATGTGAGGACCGGCCTCAGCAATGTTTTGTATATAATAATTTTAGTTCTTCTTTGAATGTTTCTTGAGTGGAAATGCTTTTGGAGTCCATAGTATGCCCTATTTGTAAGATTTATTCGTCTTTTGATTTCTCCGCTTGTTTTATTGGTAGCAGTCAATAGCGACCCAAGGTATGTGAAGTTGTCAACACGTCCAAAGGTATGATTTCCAAAGACTGTTTCCCGTTCCTCATTTGCTATCGGATCCTTTGTAACCAACATATACTTGGTTTTGTCTTCGTTGATGACTAGACCGACCTGTTTCTCCGCAGTTTCCAATTCTAGGAGATATTGCTCAACATCTCGCTTGCTACGCCCTACTATGTCAATGTCATCAGCATATGCTAAGACTTGTATCGATCTATTGTAAATAGTACCGTCATCCCTAATTCGTGTATCTCGGACTGCCTTTTCTAAGGCAATATTAAATAGGAGGCAAGCCAGAGCATCTCCTTGTCTGAGTCCATCCTTTATCTCAAAGGATCTAGAACTCTCTCCCTGTATTCTAACAGTGGCTTCTAAGTTAGACATTGTCATTCTCGTTAGTCGGATAAGTTTCTCTGGTATACCAAACTCATACATTGATTGGTATAGCACTGTTCTCTTGACACTGTCGTATGCGGCCTTAAAGTCGACGAATAGGTGATGGGTTTCAATATTGAATTCTAATGTTTTCTCGAGAATCTGTCTTATTGAATGAATCTGGTCAATTGTTGATTTTTCTGGAGTGAATCCAACTTGATATTTACCAACTATGCCCACTGTGTAAACTTGCAACCTTTCGTAGAGAATATTTGCTAGTATTTTGTAAGCAGTTGTTAACAGGGTTATACCTGTATAGTTGTCACACTGGAGCTGGTCACCTTTTTTATGTAACGGGCATATCACGCCTTGAGACCATTCACAAGGCATGGTCTCATTATGCCAAACAAGAAGTAAAAGCTTATGCAGTGTCTGTAGTAGGGCATCGCCACCATTCTTGTAGAGCTCTCTGCAAATTTGATCAACTCCTGGTGATTTATTATTTTTAAGCTTTTTAATGGCTTGGGCAACGTTTTCGATGGTAGGTGGTCTTTCGTTTGGGTTGAAAGGATTCCAATCATTTCGATTTGCTATCTTATATAAGTATATAGAAATACTTTCCCACTGTGTCTAAATTCGTCGTAATAGTTTTTTTCTTCTTCTCTTCTTCTTACGGTGCCTATCCGTTCCGTATGTTGGCGATCAACATGGCTATCCTAACTTTGCTTGCTGCTATTTTTCAATCCACGTATTTTCTTCCGTCGTATTTTCTTTAAATAATTTACTATTTATTACAGTAGCCAAACTTTCTGGATATCCTCCTCAGTTATAATCCCTTTTGGGATGTGGTGACACCATCAGGCCTTCACAGTTTTTTTTACGATTTCCCTCTATCCTTCTCTGTCCTGGGCTAGTTGTTCTGCTTCATGTAACACTTGGTTAATTAATATTTTTGTTTGATCTACCCAACGTCTTGGAGATCTTGCCCTGGGTCTCTTTCCTTCAACCTTACCCTCGACTATCAGTTTTTCCATCGTTCCTGTTCTTCTAGCAATGTGTCCAAAATACTGCAAATATCTCTGTTGTATTTGTTTAAGCAATCTATCCTTTACTGGATATAGTTTCCAGTATATCCGCGATGTACATCATACAGTAAGAGTCATGGCAGTTGTCTTTTTGTTAATCTCTAATTTTTAATAGGACAGACATTTTAAATATTAGTTTCCTAGTTCACATGTTCTCTAGAAAATCATACTGTTCTGTATCTAAATCTGCTTTAAATATTTTAAGCAATATTTTAAGAGGTCATTAAGCAATCACTCATTAAGTTTATTATTTGGAGGTTCTAGTTTTTTTGGGTAGGAGTAGTGTCCGATTTCAACCAAACTTGTGGAATCCACTGCGTTTATAGATTTATTCTTCTTCTTCTTCATGTGCCATCTCCTCTAAGAAGGTTGGCAACCTTCATGGCAATTCACACTTTCGATACTGCTGCTCTAAAGAGGTCAGCAGAAGTGCAGTTAACCAAGCTCTCAAATTATTTAACCAAGAGATGCGTCTTCTTCCGCTACTCCTTCTACCCTGTATTATTCCTTGCATTATTAATTGCAACAAGTTATAACGCTCTCTCCTTACGACATGTCCAAGATATTGCAGTTTTCTGGCTTTAATTGTATTTAAAACCTCTTTATCTTTTCTCATTCTTCTCAACACCTCGACATTCGTGACTCTATTCACCCAACTTATTCTTAATATCTTTCTGTAGGCCAATAACTCGAAGGCTTTTAATCTCTCCGAAACATCTTTCTTAAATGTCCAAGCTTCCAACCCATAAAATAGCATGAAGAATAGGAATAGGAGAACACGTAGCATCTCAGAAGTCTTATCTTTAAAGAAATTGAAATGTCCCTGCTGTAGAGTACTTTTTTCAGTTTGTTGAAAGAATTTCTTGTCTGTCCTATTCCTTCCTTAATCTCTTGCATTATTTTTGTTAATTATTGTATCCAGATATTTATATTTTTCAACTTTTTTAATTTGTTCTCCATGCATTGTTATGTTTTTTTGGCAATGTTGGGCTTTTGTAATTATTATAAATTGTGTCTTTTTTGTGTTTAGATTTATTAGAATAGTCTAATTAATATAAGAATGTTTTATTCGTCAACATACAAGAATATGTTGAAAATTATACCATACTAATGATAGCTTAAACATGTTTCTTCTTGTTAGAGTGCTGCCTCAGTAAGCAGGTTGGCAATCATAATGTCTATTTTTTATGTTTAAACTTTCTGTTATAAACAAATCAATAGAACTGCATTTATACCAATCACCTAAATTATTCATCCAATAATTTTGCCTTCCACAAACAGATCGTCTCATTTGCATTTTCCTTGTATTATGACTCTCAAAATTTCATATTTTTAACCCCTCATCACGTGGCGTAGGTATTCCAATTTTCTTATGTGTATAGTGGTGATTAATTTTGTTTCTTTGCCAACTCTCTCCAGTACTTCTATATTTGTAATCCTGCACATTTCTGCACGTTAGGAGTGACTTTATTCGTGTAAATGCTGATCTGGCAATCTCTATTCGCCTATTTATTTCTGCAGTATGATCATTGGTTTCATTGATCAAAGTTCCCAAGTACTGACATTTTTCTACTTGTTCTATCACGTTACCATTTATTCACGTTTTTTAGTGTTTATAGTATTTTTTATCGCAGCGCTATTCATACTTTGATTGAACGTATGACTTATGTTACGGTAATATTTCTACGTTATAGTATTATTTTAGCTTGACAGAGCTTTGCAGGTAAATGTTGGTCTCTCAGCTCACTCACATTCGTCATCATAATGATCATCATCACATGTACAAACTTGCTCAACGTTCGAATTTTATTTCAAATATCTCATATGTTATATTTTCTAAAAACAAAAAGAAATATTCAACAAAACCCTAATTATAGGGTTCGTGGCTCGTTAATTTATAGAAATGGTCACCCCATCGTAGACGACGAGAACAATTTCCCTGACGGCAGCGAAGTTACCTTTAACTGCATAGAAAGTATTATGGGAGAGAAAACTACATGGAAAATTATATGCGAGGATGGAAGCTGGATAGGAAGGTCGCTTAATTGTGGTAAGTACGACAGACTTGTAATATTTGATAGTTTCTTGATTTTCTTATGAAGAGAAGATTTCCAGTGATTGGCTCTATACCGTAGTTTAAAATAACTTACAATGAAGTAAACACTGGCAATGTAATTTGTATAATTTATCTTCCTCCTCCTCAGTCCTAATCCCTTTTAGGATGTGGTGACACCATCAGGCATGATGGTGTAATCACGGGAATATAATCAGGTGGTTTGCCCTTGTCTGCCTGATCGCAGTACCACGGCCGATTTAATAATTATGTTATATCCGCCCGTAAGTATCTGTCATTAAGCCAACAGTAGAAATCATTTCGCTATAGCCTTAATGAAGTAATGTCATAGCTGCTGCGCTATGCCATGTCCTCAGTTAATCCGCGGGTGCTTATTTGGTAAAACTTATTCACACCTATCCTACATATCTGTAGGACATTTCCCTATCGGCCAGTGGGACGCGCCGTGTCGGGGTTGAGCACTCACCCGCCCATCCGTCTTCCGCGAAGTACAGAAAAGTCCCTCCTTAATTCATAACTCCTCCTCCACGCAAGCTGGGACGGACACGGACACTTTATACAATTATGAAAATATCCAAAAGGACCATACATTTCAAAACTTTCAAAAGGTTTTCAGTTTTATCAAACCATCATCAATAATAACTAAAAGTAAGTAATTTTACTTTAATTTAATAAACGAAAAGGTTAAAATGTTGATTGTTGATATAAAAAACTTGTGGTATAATTACTTGCTTGAAGAATCTGCAAAAAGCCACTTTGAAAACTGTATAAAATTCTTTGATTTACATTTATAATAATGACAAAGGATTTATCCCACAGAGAACATACTGAACCAAACTTAAAATGGTAACCAAATTTGGGTAAAACCAAAGGTACTAATCAACTGAGTTGAATGAGCAGTAAGTGAAGTCAAAAGCTGTCAAAATTTGATATTTAAAAATTATTAAAAATTAAACAAATAATCGTGGGTTGTAGTTGACATAATATAGAAATTTTGTCTTTGTCTTGTTTTTAAAACCTTTCTCAGTTGAAAGCTTTTTCTAGATCTATAAATCCTAAATACATACCTTTCTCTCGTTGCATATTTTTTTCTGTTTTTTTTTTGTTTACTGTGAGTATATGGTCTTGTATGCTCATTCTCTTTCTAAATCCGTTTTGTGATCCTTCTAGCGTATTTTCTCTTTTTGGTACTACTTTATTTCTTCTTCTTTAACTGCCATCTCCGCGACGAAGGTTGGCAATCATCATGGCTATTCTGACGTTTGAGGCAGCTGCTCTGAACAATTGCTTTGAGGTGCAACCAAACCACTCTCTCAGGTTCTTCAACAAGGAAACGCGTCTTTTATTATTTAGTATATGTTTAAACAGTTTCATAACTGTATTTATCAGTGTTATTCTTCGTTAGTTATTGAGTGCCTTTTTCAAGTGATCTATTTTTGTTATGTGTTTAAAATTTATAGTCTATAACTGAATAAGTTGAGGAGGGAAGAACTGTGTTAAGTTGGTCATTCAGAATTATGTCTGTATTTTTTAATTTGTTGATTTCCATAGATTCTAATAAAGATACCTTAAGGCCTTTATTTTGAATGTGAAGAATTTGAAATTCGTCATTAAAAGAATGATTATAGTCTAGAAGGTGAAGTGTCGTATATGTAGAGTCTGTTTTTCTATTATTGAAAGCCCTTTCATGTTCTGCTATACATTTGATAAAAGTTCTACCAGTTGAACCGATGTAAGTTTTTGGGCAGTCGCCACACTTTAGTTTGTTTACACCGCTGTGTAATTGCAATTTTTTTGGCTCTTGTCGTTCTTAATATATATGCCCAAGGTATTTTTTGTTCTAACAGCTGGTGTTATTCCTTTCTTTTTTATGTGTTTGTCTATTTAATTCTTTTATGTAATTCTATTATGTAATCGAACAGAAGGTACTGGGTTTATTCTTTGGTGGTGGAAATACTAATTTCAGGGCTTACTTATGTAGTTTTTGACTTAAAATTTTATTTATTGTGTGTTAGTTGAACCCATTATTTACTGCTATTTGTATCCAACGAGTACAACGTTACGGTAAATTACTAATTATAGATCTGATTCGTAAACAAATTATTTGTTTCAGACACAGATGATATTGCTGGAACACAGATTATAAACAACAACAGTACTTGCATCTTTAGAAATCAGGAACCCAACGTTATATCATTTTTTAACGATCAACAAATTCGGGAAGAAGTGGTCGAGTTTCCTGCAGGAGCCATTCTGATTAGTCGGTGCGTGGATATAGGAAAATTTGCCATGATAGGTAAATTTATAATTATGTAATGTTTTCGTACGTAAAATTCATAAAGCCAATATCTATATTTTACAACATATTCGTAAAGGTTTTGTAGTAAAAGACTTGTAAGGAATACAGAAGATAATAAGAGAACTGAAAGGGAAAAAGTTCAATGTGGATTTATAAGGAATATCTGGAAATGAAGTGACCTGTAATTAACGCCTTGTAATTAAATAGGGGAAGCTACTATGAGCCAGTAGGCACTAGTTACGAAGGTTCAGCGCAATTCGATCCGAGAGCTTTGATTACATATTTATCCATGCTGTCAGTAGCGCACAGTGAACATGAAATTATATAATAGATAGATAAAAGAAGAGAATTATCCGGTAGCTGGTAGAATGTAATAAGTCCTTTTTCTCCTTTTTCTAAGACCACTTTTGGTTCCAGGAAAATATCGTCAAACCTTTACAGACTATAGTGAGATTGCCGCGCAGAGGACTAGTTTTCAAAATTATTTAAATTCTATTTCATGTTTTAATTATTTAAAATACACGTTTAAGGTCCAAATAAACGAAGATGCATGGGAGGAGAGTGGGATGGAGTAAAGCCCGCCTGTTTTGGTCTCAACCAAGCTAACGATTATTCCATGGAGAAACCACCGACGATTCTTTTTAGGCACCAATTAGGACCTATAGCGCAATCAAATGAAGGAAAGTTGATTGTGTATCCAGGAACTATCCTGCATATGGAGTGTTTATGGATACGGCGATTTGGTAATCCAAAGTGGACTATTAGCCACGATTATCGGTGAGTTTTATATGTTGTTTGTCAATCAGAATACATAAATATATTTGTTTTAAAGACGAACCTTAACGTGTCCATTTTATATGGAGATAAAAAAAATAAAGAAAGTCTTTACTCTAAATATGTTTAACATAAAACAACTTGTGAAGGACCTTCATTTTTTCTTTGATCTTCTTCAAGCCCATTCGCGCTTTATCTCAGGCGATTCTCGCCATTCTTCTTACTTCCATTCTGCTAATATGTTCACATTCAAATCTTGCTGGAATAAGCGGTCTTGACTACATCATGCGCGAAAGCGAACCAATTTTGGAACATTATGTATCATACCTTGTGTTCATTGTACCATGATATGGAATAGGGGCGGTTTGAGAAAGTGAATGTAATAGAGTATGGAATATGTTACCTATCGCTGTTTGGAATTAATTATGTTTCACTGCCTCATCTTTGTAAATTTCTGGTTTGTTTAATATATGATACACTGCGCAGTGAATATTAAATAAAAATAATCACCGATAGAAGTTTTCCGATATTGCCAAACATATTATACTTTCGTAAAATAGTTTCGAAACATAATTCAGATTTCTGCTTATAATCTGAGGCTTCTAAAAATTGTAAGGCAAACAGACGTTGATAAAAGATGTTAAAAGAGACATGGGGAATCTAAAATTTGCATTCCACGACATGTCTTTTACAACTAAGCAGAAATCCTTAGCGAATTGTGTTTCTAGTACTCACACAGAGCAGATCCAAAATAAAATGAAAAAGACAGCAAATATTTGATTTCACGCAAACAATTTATATGTATCTGTTGATACGTATTTTGACCTAATAGGTCTCATCAGAACAGCTATTCATAGAAGTTCTCAACGTAAAAAATCAATATTTTCTGCCTTTTAAGAAGCAACAATAACATGGCTTCAATACGGACGCGATAGCGACATCTAATTACAAAATTCGTAAAATAGTTTCGAAACATAATTCAGATTTCTGCTTATAATCTGAGCCTTCTAAAAATTGCAAGGCAAACAGACGTTGATAAAAGATGTTAAAAGAGACATGGGGAATCTAAAATTTGCATTCCACGACATGTCTTTCACAACTAAGCAGAAATCCTTAGCGAATTGTGTTTCTAGTACACACACAGAGCACATCCGAAATAAAATAAAAAAGACAGCAAATATTTGATTTCACGCAAACAATTCCTATGTATCTGTTGATACGTATTTCGACCTAATAGGTCTCATCAGAACAGCTATTCATAAAAGTTCTCAACGTGAAAAATCAATATTTTCTGCCTTTTAAGAAGCAACAATAACATGGCTTCAATACGGACGCGATAGCGACATCTAATTACAAAATCCGTAAAATAGTTTCGAAACATAATTCAGATTTCTGCTTATAATCTGAGCCTTCTAAAAATTGCAAGGCAAACAGACGGTGATAAAAGATGTTAAAAGAGACATGAGGAATCTAAAATTTGCATTCCACGACATGTCTTTTACAACTAAGCAGAAATCCTTAGCGAATTGTGTTTCTAGTACACACACAGAGCAGATCCGAAATAAAGTGAAAAAGACAGCAAATATTTGATTTCACGCAAACAATTCCTATGTATCTGTTGATACGTATTTCGACCTAATAGGTCTCATCCGAACAGCTATTCATAGAAGTTCTCAACGTGAAAAATCAATATTTTCTGCCTTTTAAGAAGCAACAATAACATGGCTTCAATACGGACGCGATAGCGACATCTAATTACAAAATCCGTAAAATAGTTTCGAAACACAATTCAGATTTCTGCTTATAATCTGAGCCTTCTAAAAATTGCAAGGCAAACAGACGTTGATAAAAGATGTTAAAAGAGACATGGGGAATCTAAAATTTGCATTCCACGACATGTCTTTCACAACTAAGCAGAAATCCTTAGCGAATTGTGTTTCTAGTACACACACAGAGCACATCCGAAATAAAATAAAAAAGACAGCAAATATTTGATTTCACGCAAACAATTCCTATGTATCTGTTGATACGTATTTCGACCTAATAGGTCTCATCAGAACAGCTATTCATAGAAGTTCTCAACGTGAAAAATCAATATTTTCTGCCTTTTAAGAAGCAACAATAATATGGCTTCAATACGGACGCGATAGCGACATCTAATTACAAAATCCGTAAAATAGTTTCGAAACACAATTCAGATTGCTGCTTATAATCTGAGCCTTCTGAAATTGCAAGGCAAACGGACGTTGATAAAAGATGTTAAAAGAGACATGGGGAATCTAAAATTTGCATTCCACGACATGTCTTTTACAACTAAGCAGAAATCTTTAGCGAATTGTGTTTTTAGTACTCACACAGAGCAGATCCGAAATAAAATGAAAAAGACAGCAAATATTTGATTTCACGCAAACAATTCCTATGTATCTGTTGATATGTATTTCGACCTAATAAGTCTCATCAGAACAGCTATTCATAAAAGTTCTCAACGTGAAAAATCAATATTTTCTGCCTTTTAAGAAGCAACAATAATATGGCTTCAATACGGACGCGATAACGACATCTAATTACAAAATCCGTAAAATAGTTTCGAAACACAATTCAGATTTCTGCTTATAATCTGAGCCTTCTAAAAATTGCAAGGCAAACAGACGGTGATAAAAGATGTTAAAAGAGACATGAGGAATCTAAAATTTGCATTCCACGACATGTCTTTTACAACTAAGCAGAAATCCTTAGCGAATTGTGTTTCTAGTACACACACAGAGCAGATCCGAAATAAAGTGAAAAAGACAGCAAATATTTGATTTCACGCAAACAATTCCTATGTATCTGTTGATACGTATTTCGACCTAATAGGTCTCATCAGAACAGCTATTCATAGAAGTTCTCAACGTGAAAAATCAATATTTTCTGCCTTTTAAGAAGCAACAATAACATGGCTTCAATACGGACGCGATAGCGACATCTAATTACAAAATCCGTGAAATAGTTTCGAAACACAATTCAGATTTCTGCTTATAATCTGAGCCTTCTAAAAATTGCAAGGCAAACAGACGTTGATAAAAGATGTTAAAAGAGACATGGGGAATCTAAAATTTGCATTCCACGACATGTCTTTCACAACTAAGCAGAAATCCTTAGCGAATTGTGTTTCTAGTACACACACAGAGCACATCCGAAATAAAATAAAAAAGACAGCAAATATTTGATTTCACGCAAACAATTCCTATGTATCTGTTGATACGTATTTCGATCTAATAGGTCTCATCAGAACAGCTATTCATAGAAGTTCTCAACGTGAAAAATCAATATTTTCTGCCTTTTAAGAAGCAACAATAATATGGCTTCAATACGGACGCGATAGCGACATCTAATTACAAAATCCGTAAAATAGTTTCGAAACACAATTCAGATTTCTGCTTATAATCTGAGCCTTCTGAAATTGCAAGGCAAACGGACGTTGATAAAAGATGTTAAAAGAGACATGGGGAATCTAAAATTGGCATTCCACGACATGTCTTTTACAACTAAGCAGAAATCCTTAGCGAATTGTGTTTTTAGTACTCACACAGAGCAGATCCGAAATAAAATGAAAAAGACAGCAAATATTTGATTTCACGCAAACAATTCCTATGTATCTGTTGATATGTATTTCGACCTAATAAGTCTCATCAGAACAGCTATTCATAAAAGTTCTCAACGTGAAAAATCAATATTTTCTGCCTTTTAAGAAGCAACAATAATATGGCTTCAATACGGACGCGATAACGACATCTAATTACAAAATCCGTAAAATAGTTTCGAAACATAATTCAGATTTCTGCTTATAATCTGAGCCTTCTAAAAATTGCAGGGCAAACAGACGGTGATAAAAGATGTTAAAAGAGACATGAGGAATCTAAAATTTGCATTCCACGACATGTCTTTTACAACTAAGCAGAAATCCTTAGCGGATTGTGTTTCTAGTACTTACACAGAGCAGAAAGCAGAATATATCAATATATATAAGCAGAAATCTGAATTGTGTTTCGAAACTATTTTACGGATTTTGTAATTAGATGTCGCTATCGCGTCCGTATTTAAGCCATGTTAATAGCTGTTCTGATGAGACCTATTAGGTCGAAATACGTACCAACAGAGACATAGGAATTGTTTGCGTGAAATCAAATATTTGCTGTCTTTTTCATTACAGTATACTTTTTTTATTATATAGAAAATACCCAGAGGGATGGAGTACAGATCCAGGACGAGATCCACAACTCGAATACAGATTATCTATCTTTCATGCATCCAAAGATGACTCTGGTTTGTTTACGTGCGTCACTCCTGCTCGTTACACCCACTCTGTAGAAATCGAAGTAAAAGGTAAAAATTGTATTTTAAAATTCCAAACGTTATTTACATTTATTATTTTTCAGCTATTCATTGCCCAGTTGTTCCCCAAAGAAGAGGACTGACAGTTAACACACAGAGTACAAAAATGAACACTAGACTTAAATTTTCCTGCATTAATGGAAATGCTTTGATAGGAGCTCCAGAAGTAGTATGTTTACCTTCAGGAAATTGGAGCTCGCCCTTCCCTATATGTGAAAGTATGTTATTCAGTCTATTTTTATGCATCAGTTGATCTATTTTAGCTACCTGTAGATGTTTTATTTATTAGTTTTTCTTTTGCTTTATGTAGTGCTTTTCATTATCTTCTCCTTGAAAAATTCTGTTTATTCTCTGAAACCTTTAAGAATATTTGAATCTGTGAGCAAGTTAAAGCGGAAATGTCACAAAAATCAAGTTAGCGGTAAGTAAGAAAAAACTTCCTCTAAGGAAAACTACCCGATATTTATAACAAGTTTAATTACCACTGTATAGAGCAATACACCACTGATAAATATTGATACAAAATTTAATGAAGGCAACTATGAGAGGACAGAAAATAAATATTTTTTTATTGGATATATCCGGTTTTTACACAATATTATTGTTTTAGGATTATTTATTATGATATAAACAATACAACACAAAATACCAAGATAGAAAAGAGTAAATCAAAGTTCTTCTGACTGATGTTTACATTCTGCAATTGTCCATGTAAATGAGGAATCAAAATATCTTGAATCCAGGAATGTTCTCATCCAAGTAGGGTGCAAATTTCAATAGATGTTCTAATTTCTTTTTCTTAATCGGAACTTTGAATGCAGATAGGCCAAGTTGACAGGCAGTGACTCTCCTTGTACTTTGGTGCGTGTTGAAACTTCAAATAAATTCACGAGCAACAATTTGACCTTTTGCCTGCGAGTTACAAAAAAAGTGCATGAACTTGCTGATAGAAAAAGAAACTTTCGTTCTTTGGAAATATGCCTACCTATTGATCCTTGTAATAAAACATTTCTTATATAATATCTAGTCCCCCAGCAGTTATAACCTTTGATAATACTATTACCATTTTCAATCAGATAGACAGTGAAATTTCTATTAGTACTACCAGTTATAATGAGTTCTACATAGTGTTTTAATGTGTAAAACCTATCAGCTTTCTTCTTGTTCTCTTTGCTACAGCAAAGTTACGGTCACAAGGCATGAACGAATGACCACGAATAGGCTATCAAACTGTCTCTTAAGGCTCTGGCGAACCTTAAAACTGTGTGGTTTTTGTTTTAATCTCCAGCTCCATCAGAGAAAATGTTAAACTGTTTCACTTCTTCAGATACATATTTTAATATAATCCATTATGTGATAACCCTTCGTGATACACATAGAAGTAGCTTTTACCGGTTTTTAAATTGTGCGTGTTAAACACACTGACTGTCAGTTAAATCAGGTAAAATGTATCTTGAATAGGTGTTATGGTTAATGCATATTCCTCCTTCTAATGGATCCACTTTGATAAGAGCCTCTAACTGATTCATTTTAGCAAAAAACTTTTTTGGTTGACGTAACTACATGCCCCATCTTTTCCTCTATCGTTACCCTCTTGTACTCAATATCGACTTTTCTACTATTGACTATTTCTTGAGGTTTTGCATTAGCTGTTATTTGTTTTCCTCTCATGTCAACAGGTACTTGTTACTCTGTACGAAAATCAGTATTCTTATGGTTTTCTTCTGTTATCTTCAGTGTTTGGTCTAGGACGCCGTCGGGCAACTGTCAATATTTCAATAAGGGATTAAAGATAATCGTCTTGGGCGTTTTTGTTGTTTTGCATATTTAACCAAATTTGAGGTTATAAAAACATACCTGCATGGGTCTCCGACAGTTTTGATTGGAATAGTACGACTTTTATAATCAGTATACTCTTGTTCAGCTTATCTTATTGTTTTCTTATTAAAAGATTCTCAACACTCTGGATTTCGCCTTTTTTTATTTTTTAATTCGAGATTCTCGAATTCCTTATATACCTATCTATATAGGTATACTAGGTAATGAAAAAGCTGATAGTTTGGCCAAGGAGGCAGTACAAAACGGAGTTCATTGTAATATTTGTACAATACCAGACGTCTCTAATTTGATAAAAAATAAAATAATGTCCAAATGGGAATGACAGTGGGAAAACGTTGTAGAAAACTCACAAAATACGTATTTTAAAATACATCCAACCCTACCATCTCCACCCCAATATATTTTCAACTATTCCACTTCAAAATTCTTTTCGGCAACTGTTTTTCGACTTAAAACAAATCATGGGCGATTTCCATCGCACCTTGCTAAGCTAGGCATTATACAGTCATCGGCCTATAGTTGTGATCAGAACTCTTACGGAGATCTAAACCATATATTCTTCGGTTGCAAAAAACATTTTAAAAAATCCGATGACTTAATTCGCAAACTCATTAAAATGAAATATTTTCTTCCATTAAATCTATCAAACATTTTATTAACTGCCAATAAAAACACCTTAGAACTTCTAGTAAATTTTATAAAGAAGTAAAAATAGAAATTTAAAACAGCATAACCCACAACTCTGTAATAACATTATAAGGAAAGTTCTACATACAACATTCTGTGTCAAATGGACTTGATTCCGTGCCATTATCTTTCCCCACACACACATATATAAAAACAACTATATTTGACACACCAACGGAATCCCTACGTACTGACCGAGGGACCCCAGGAAACTTCCAGATCTACTATACGAATCTTAATTTGCGAATCAAATCTACACATGACATAGATACAGCAGCTCAATACTTCACCACACTTGTGCAAAAAGCGGCATGGCAATCTACACCACGAACTGAACGCAAACCAACACATACCACAAATGTTCCCCTGCACATTCGCCAACTCATACAGCAAATGACCAGACGTTATGGAATGCGACTAAGAGACTTAAGAAACCATAAACAACTACTCATCCTATCGGTAAACCAAATGGCGAATGAGCCTGTTCCAACAATGAAAAAGCGGACGTCTTTGCTGAACATCTTACGAACGTATTTCAAACATAGCCAGCGGGCCCTGATAAAGAAGTGGAAGAACTAATTAGCGCAGCATATCAAATGTCCCTTCCAATTAAAAGTTTTACTCCTATAGAAATCAAGATAGAAAGAAGAAATTTACTCAACTCACAAAAGTCCCTAGGTTATGATTTAATCTCGGCACAAGTACTAAAACAACTTCCTCGCAAGACAATTACTTTGATAACAATTATATTTAACTGTATGCTAAGCTTTTCATACTTTCCAAAAATATAGAAATTTGCTGAAGTCATTATGATTCTCAAGCCACGAAAAGAGCCCAATGAAAGCTTGATGATCCAAGTTTTTGAAAGATTGCTGCTAGAAAGAATATACGCAGATCATAAATGTCTATCATTACTTCCAAAACATAAATTTGGTTTTCGGGAACACATCAACACTGCCCAACAAGTCCATCAAATGATAAATGAAATATCAAAAAGTCTTGAAGAAAAAAAATATTGCAACGCTGAATTTCTAGACGTCTCAAAAGTGTTTGTCTAAGACTGGCACAGAGGTCTGCTTTACAAAGTAAAAATAGCACTATCCAGTACCTATTTCCTTCTACTTAAATCCTCATATCACATAGATATTTCTCTGTCAAAGTCAAAGACCAACAATCCAACCTCTGTCCTATCAACTCCGAAGTCCCGCAGGGTAGTGTTCTAGGGCCGCTGCTTTCTTCACTTTACACTGCCGATATACTTATTCTTCCTTTGCTGATGACGCAGCAATACTAACTGTAAATAAAGTTCCCATATAATCCTTTCAAAACCTGTAACACCATCTGAACATACTCAGTGATTGGTATGCGAAATGCAGAACAACAGTAAATAAAACAAAATCAACTCAAATAATATTTACCAACCGTCCCAATATATGCGCACCTGTTAGAATGAAAAATGTAAGAATACCAAGAGTAACAGATGCTAGATACCTTGGCCTCCATCTTGACCATCGTCTCACTTGGAAGAAACATATCCAGACCAAAAGAAGGCATCTCGACTTAAAATTCCGGCAAACGTATTGGCTCCTTGGACGTAAATCAAAACTTAACATCCAAAACAAAACTCTTCTATACAAAGCCGTACTCAAACCTATTTGGTTCTACTAACTACATTTATAGGACTGTGCAAAGCCAACGTCGCTGAATATTATCCAAAGATTCCAGTCTAAACTGCTAAGATCGATAGTGGATGCTTCATGGTACGTAAGTAATCAAACACTTCACTACGATTTCTTCTATCAGCGAAAAAATCCATCGAGCCACAGAGTCCGAAAAAGAACGTATCATTCACCATGAAAATGAGCTAGTAAGAAAATTATTCAACAATGGTCCAGCCACAAGAAGACTAGATAGAACCTGGCCCCAAGAACTGGCCCAATACTAAACCAAAATAGAATAAGGTGATCATCAGACAACTTCATGCATAGAACCTGTAACATATTTACTTAAGACTATGTAATGATGTAGATTGTAAATAAACATAATTATATATAAAAAAACACAAATGTGGAGCAAGGTAATCCCGTTTTACGGTAAGTTTGTTTCTTAGATCCGAAACCTAGGTAGTGGAAATAGTACGTAAAGAAGAAGAGTTTAGTAGTATCATGTAGCTTCAAGATATAGTTTCAGGAAATCTCAAGCTGTGTTATAGTACACAAATGAAATGCATGCATTCAGGGTGTATTCTTAAATTTTTTCTACGATTTTTTGTCTTGAATGTAATTTATTTTACTAAATTGTTTTCTAAAACCTGCCTGGTGTGAAGTTTAGTAGAACCAGAATTTTTGATTAGTCTGTTGTACTAGTTTTTTTAGGAGTTTGTATACCTGACATTGTAGACTAATTGATTTATAGTTTTTAAGTTGTTTGCCACCCTTTTTAGTAAATATTATGATTGCATTATTTCAACTTTGTGATATTTTCCGTCTTGATAAAGTTTATATATAATTTTTATTGTTTAAATTAGAAACTAGTTTCTTGTTTCAGTATGACTAGTTCTTGTTTTTATTTTTTTTAGGTATTGAATTAAATTTTTGTTTAAATTAGAAACTAGTTCTTTGTTTTCAGTATTAATAGTTCTTGTTTTTATTTTTTTAGGTATTGAATTGAATTTTTATTGTTTAAATTAGAAACTAGTTCTTTGTTTTCAGTATTACTAGCTCTTGTTTTTATTTTTTTAGGTATTGAATGTGGTGAAGTTGGTGTAGTGCTTAGTGATCATTTGAAAGTGCTTGTTGTATCTAGAGAAGTAGGAGGGAGAGCAATTTTCAGCTGTGACTCGGGTTTCGGGCTTAGAGGCCCTGCTGAGACAATCTGCCAGGCTAGTGGTGATTGGGCGACACCGTTTCCCACTTGCGAAGGTCAGTTTTCCCTAAAAGCAAGTAAGGAGAAACCAGATATGAGTATTTTAGGAAGAAACAAATGGTAGATAAATTATTTTGCAGATATTTATGGGTCAAATTTGAAAATCAGTCTCCCTCCTATCTGGTTTACTCATTTATCTACTTACATTATTTATTTATTAAAAAAAGAAGATATAAGTATTGGTAATTACAGATATCGGATAGAAAAATTCTATATTATGACTGATACTTAACAATTTAAAAAAAAACTGTTTTACTGTTTTTTTCCAGAGGTACATTGCGACAATCCAAATGCTCCTGAAAATGGATATATTCAAGGAACTGGTCCCTACAAAGCGGGAGATGTGGTGCAGATCAATTGTAATCCAGATTATATGATGGAAGGGCAACCGATTATAGCTTGCCAAGAAAATTCTAGATGGTCTGGAAAGATGCCAAAGTGTAAGTTATCGATAATTCCATAGAAATAATATCACAATGAAGCGAAAAATAGATAAAAACAATCCTTAATTGTATATTGTCAAATTTGAGCTTAATTGGTGCAGAAATTTACCACGTTCTTACAGCATTCAGCCATCCTATGTTTTTTTTTCACATCCATAGCTCAATATCTGTCGGATTATGGTCTTGTAGATTCTTATCTTTGTCTTTTGATGTACGTCTCGTGATTTAAATATCTGGTTCATAGCAAAGTATGCTGTATTGAAAGGTAGGTATGCTACCTATCTTTCCTAAGCTGTCAACTGTTGGGTAGGGTCGTCTGGTTCCCTCCAATTGACTTTGTACTAGAATTTTAGTCTTTTTTGTGTGCATTGAGAGACCTATTTGTTTAACATGTGATTTAAGTTTTGTGTACGTATTCTCACCTCTTGTTTTGGTTCTGCTCATGATATTTATGTCATCTGCATATGCTGCCAGTTGGATTAATTTATTAATGAGTGTGTTATTTCTACCTTTTGATGTTTTTCTTATTACGTATTCCAGTGGTAAGTCCCAAAGGAGAAATCCATGTTTCGTTGCCAAAATCGTTGCTTTGAAATGAAATAAAAACAATAAAACTGATGAAGAATGATATAAAATTTGATTTGTGATCGGATGTCCAAAAAGAGGAGCTTAAAAAATTATTTCTTTTTTTTTATTAATATAGTTTGGAGATTGCCGTTTTTATTTTTAATTCTTGGAGATTGACGGATATGATATGAAATGATCTATAAGGGTATTGCCAGTTTTGAAACTAATAAATCAATGTGTCAGTTACTTAGTGAAAAAAAAAATATAATATGTTAATTAATATACATAATAATTTATATACATATCCTTTAAACTAAAATATCCGGAAGTTCGGATATAAATTCACAGGTTTCGACAGACAACTCTGGAACAGGATTCTCGAAGTAGTTCCCTTTGCTTCTTGTTCAAAACGTTTAAAAAGCTCTTTATGGTAATTAAGCTGATCGAGTAGTATCCAGTCTAAACAAAAATGTTTGGTGAAAAGATTTCGCACATCACGCAGTTTTACATTACTTACTTTGAAAGCAACGAGGATAAGTTTTTCTGGATTGATCATGATAATCTGTTTGCCTTTTTGTGTGATATTTTCAAAAGATCCGAAATTGTTTTTGTAATAAAGTTTACATCATATTAAATCATTTCCTGTCTTACATCGTTTTAAAATGTATCTTTTACATTCCTTTAACTGAAAACCCCATGCCCCAACTGGTTTAAGAACTTCTTGAACAGCAGATTTCCAATCATAAACACAGCTTTGTTTCATATCAACGACCGTAGAAAATTCGGATATAATTTCTTTGTATTCGCCAGGTGTCTTTACTACTTTTCGTTTTCGCAACTTATTCTTAATTTAATCCACAAGGAAAACAATTCCTGTAGCTCGCTGTATACCACGTATCACAAAAAAAGAGGTTAGTCTTCGTAATTGGGTATATTTATTTAAAAAACCCTTAATAGGGCTACATCAAAAAAACAAACGTTTTCGGACTAAACAGTCCATCATCAAGTTTAAAATCGCCAGGTTAAAATGCCTAAGCCACCAAAAATACATGGGTAAAAACCCTTTAAATTACATATAGTTGTAAAAAATTATACATCTTGCTGTTAAAAAACTGTGATGTTCATTATTAAATTAAATATGACTTCAGGTAACATACATTGCAAAAAAATTGAGTTCCAGAGCCGCGGAGAAAACCTCTACGCACGGAGAACAGCTGGAAACTCAGTTTTTTTTTTGAATTCTTAATTTGACCGAAAACTCTATCGGATAGAAAGAATGAGTGACCAACTACGGGAAAAACTAACTCAAGTAATTTAACATTTGGTGATGCGTTCTTGAATAACCATTTGCAGCACATACCAGTAATTATCGAGTTTTTATTTTGGACATTGCATCCATCGGCGACTATTTGTGCCTTATTTAATATGTAACCAAAATCAGTGTCATTGAGTCGATGAAAGACTGCATAGGAAATTTCATTTGGTGATTTGCCAAACATGACCTCGAACAACAGTAAAGTTATACAAATAAAGTTGCCTTGAATAATAAGCACTTTGATCAGGAACTTTGGGGAAAATTAAATTTTTTTGTTTAAAAAACCTAGTCAAACGACAAAGTGACTAGGTTTTCTCTGTTTTCTTGAAAATGCTTTCGCTCGAAGTTTGTGGAGCCATTTTTTAGTCATTAGTTTAATTTTTCTTGTATTTAATTCGTTCTCTAAGCTCTAAACATTTTCAGCAAACGTCTGTTCTTGGAGTATTAATGCGTGCTTGATATCAAATGTTCAACAAAAGCTTGCGGAATATTCTCCTATTCTTCAATAACGACCTCAATGAGTTGATTGTGATTGACAATAGGGAGTCTACGACTTAGAATCTTTTTTTTTTTAAAGTCCCATAGATGCTCTATAGCATTCACGTCCGGACTGTTAAGTGGCCATTCTAATAATGGAATATCAACATCATTTAGATAGCCAATAACCTGTCGAGCCACATGAGGACGAGCGTTGTCTTGCATGAATAAAAAATTAGGTACAAGAAACAGAACAAAAGGCATTACATGTTCGACAATAATATTGTCTAAGTAATAATGGGCATTCATAGACCTCGTACGTATGGGGACCAACTCCGTACGAGCTTCAAAACAAATTGCCCCCCAAAACATTTTAGAGCCACCACCAAAAGGTACTTTAGGACAGATATTGCAGCTGACAAACCTTTCTCCTCACCTTCGCCAGGCACGCTCACGACCATCTGGAGCTTTTAGGCTTACTCTAGTCTCATCGGAGAAAAGAACTTGTTTCCAATCATCGATGGTCCAATTTTGATGCAATCTTGCAAAATTTCATCCCTGAACTCTGTGTTCTCTGGTAAGCAATGGTTTTTTGGCCGGTTTCCTGTTGCTCAATTCTGCTTCATGTAAACGTCTTCTGACTGTTCGAGATGATATCGAGATGAAATTGCTTGTGACTCTCCTATCTCTGAGAACACATTGTCTCAAAAACCGATCATCATTTTGGTATACCGACAAAAGGACGCGGAAAAAAGACGCATAAAAAACGACGCGCAAAAAAGGACGCGCGAATAAAGGACGCGTGGAAAAAAGGACGCGTGGAAAAAAGGACGCATATTATTAATGAAAAACTATAAATAGTTTATTTTAATTGACAAGCAATTACCCCCGTTTATCCCCTATATATAATTACAGAAAATGATTCTACCTAACCTAAAATCGGTTACGGTAAAAGTAAAAAGTGAAAAATATTTATATTAAAAAAACTTGCCTTCACACTTCTTTATCCAGGCTTAGAACTGGCAGCAGAAGCTGGCGTGTTTACAAGTTTTTTTTTATTTTTTCATTGTCATTTAAGTTGTCATTTTATTTTTTTTTGTTTTATTTTTGATATTAATTTTTTTTGTATTTTTTTTATGTTTGCAACTGAAAATTGTGAGCAATGCCTCTCAAATATTCTAAAGTTGGCCTGTCAGCATAATCGGCAACAATAGCCCTTATCCTGTTTGCTGTATCTTGATATTTTCTTTTGCGTGGAGGTACATTGCCCGAAATGTACTGCTCTATTTTCAAAACATTTAAATCATATTCTTTTTTTAGAGAATTAATAAATTTCCAAAGATTCGGATGTACACTATTGAGAAGAGAAGAAAAGCTGTTGTGCCATCCTTCGACAGCATTATTAGTTCGAGGTATATCTTGGTCTGCCAAATCGTAACAATTCCATACATTTGCTGAAAAAATGGGTTGTCTTCGATTTCCTCTTCTAGCTAATCTCCCTATCCAAGTGTCTTCAAAGTAATTAATCAGCGGCACTAGTAGTTCTTCATTTTTTGTATAAAAATCGCTATTAAGCAACTCCTCATACACTCTGACTACATGGTTGTCTGGAACAAACGCAATTGTCTTAGGTGAAGGGCGAAGTCAGGATTCTCAATATATCTACGTTGCAATCCGGCACTTTGAATATGGCGCCACATACACTGCGAGAAATGAAAAAAAAAAAACATGATTTTAGGTTAGGTAGAATAATTTTCTGTAATAACATATGGGGATAAAAAGGGGGTAATGGCTAATGTCAATTGAAATAAACTATTTATAATATGTATAATTTATAATATTTATAATAATATGCGTCCTTTTTTCCACGCGTCCTTTTTTCGCGCGTCCTTTTTTCGCGCGTCCTTTTTTCCGCGTCCTTTGGTCTCGCGTCCTGTTTTCCGCGTCCTTATGTCGTAGATTCCATCATTTTGATTAGTTCAACGTTTTCGCTCTTGCCCTGATCTTCGATGGCATGACCCTGTTTCATTATATCGCCTTAGCTTGCGACTGATGCTGGAATGATGTCTTCCTAACGAATCTGCAACGTATCGCATTGAATATGCTTCATCTAGGAGAGTCGATACTCGCACTGCCTCCTCCATTGACAAATTTCTTTGGCGGTTCATTTTTTTATTTGATTTTTATGCAAATGAACTTCCAAACATGCTTGCACTTTTATAAAAAGTCTAACTCACTTTTAGTCTAACACGAAGTTTAATACAAATTATTGTTAAAACAAGACTATTATTAGCTTACATAATAACTTCACTGTCAAACAATGTCCATAGGCAACTTGTCGTACAGTAAATTATCAATAAATAAAGATTATTAAGAAAAATATGAGTGGTGCGTTAATTTTGTCCTGAAGATTAGAATAAAAGACCTATAACCTCTTAATAGCCATCCATTCCGCGGCTTGTTTGCGGGTAACGTAGTGGTGATTTTTTCCAAAGATAAGATAGTATCCTTAATTGCATATTGTTAAAATTTGAGTTTAATCGGTGCAGAACTTTTCAACTTTTTAAAGGATACACTACCAAAAATTAAGTTTTTTTTTCTTCAGGTGTGCAAGCATGCTCCTACCCTGGCACTACCATAAGCGGCAGGATGTCTTCCGTG